TTGGGATTAAGTCGAGATCGCTTCCATGGAAACCGGGAAAAATAAAATGCCAAAAATCTGTAAATAGCAAAAAGGCACAACTTTAGGATCTGTTTGATATATCTACCAAGTTTTGTTGAAAAATATTATACGGTTTTGAGTTGTGCTCGGAAACGAAAGCAATCCTTACTTTTTGAGACTAAGTCCAAAATGTTTCCATGGAAACCAAGAAAAATAAAAATGCCAAAAAATCTGCAAATAGCAAAAGGCACCACTTAAGGTTCTGTTTCATACATCTACCAAGTTTTGTTGAAAATATTGAACGGTTCTTGAGTTATGCTCGGAAACGAAGCCCACCCCTCACTTTTGGGATTAAGTCCGAATCGTTTCCATGGAAACCGGGAAAAATATAAAATACCAAAATCTGCAAATAGCAAAAGGCACCACTTAAGGTTCTGTTTGATATATCTACCAAGTCTTGTTGAAAAATATTGAACGGTTCTTGAGTTATGCTCCGAAACGAAGCCCACCCCTCACTTTTTGGGATTAAGTCCGAGATCATTTCCATGGAAACCGAAAATAAAATGCCAAAAATCTGTAAATAGCAAAAGGCACAACTTTAGGATCTGTTTGATATATCTACCAAGTTTTGTTGAAAAATATTATAACGGTTTTGAGTTTATTATCGAAACGGAAAAGCAATCCTTACTTTTGAGACTAAGTCCAAAATGTTTCCATGGAAACCAAGAAAAATAAAATGCCAAAATCTGCAAATAGCAAAAGGCACAACTTTAGGATCTGTTTGATATATCTATCCAGTTTTGTTGAAAAATATTGAATGGTTCTTGAGTTATGCTCCGGAAACGAAAAGCAATCCTTACTTTTGAGACTAAGTCCAAAATGTTTCCATGGAAACCGGGAAAATAAAAATGACAAAAATCTGCAAATACCAAAAGGCACCCCTCATGGTTCTGTTTGATATATCTACCAACTTTTGTTGAAAAATATTGAACGGTTCTTGAGTTATGCTCCGGAAACGAAGCCCACCCCTCACTTTTGGGATTAAGTCCGAATCATTTCCATGGAAACCGGGAAAAATAAAAATGCCAAAAATCTGTAAATAGCAAAAGGCACAACTTTAGGATCTGTTTGATATATCTACCAAGTTTTGTTGAAAAATATTATCCTCACGGTTTTTGAGTTGGTATCTCGAAACGAAAGCAATCCTTACTTTTTGAGACTAAGTCCAAAATGTTTCCATGGAAACCAAGAAAAATAAAAATGCCAAAAATCTGCAAATAGCAAAAGGCACAACTTTAGGATCTGTTTGATATATCTATCCAGTTTTGTTGAAAAATATTGAATGGTTCTTGAGTTATGCTCCGGAAACGAAAGCAATCCTTACTTTTTGAGACTAAGTCCAAAATGTTTCCATGGAAACCGGGAAAAATTAAAATGACAAAAATCTGCAAATACCAAAAGGCACCCCTCATGGTTCTGTTTGATATATCTACCAACTTTTGTTGAAAATATTGAACGGTTCTTGAGTTATGCTCGAAACGAAGCCCACCCTCACTTTTGGGACTAAGTCCGAATTGTTTCCATGGAAACCGGAGAGAAAAATAAAATGCCAAAAATCTGTAAATAGCAAAAGGCACCACTTTAGGATCTGTTTGATATATCTACCAAGTTTTGTTGAAAATATTGAATGGTTCTTGAGTTATGCTCGGAAACAAGCCCACCCTTCTTTAAGACTAAGTCCAAAACGTTTCCATGGAAACCGAGAAAAATAAAATGACAATTATCTGTAAATAGCAAAGGCACCACCTTAGGTTATGTTTGACATATCTACCAATTTTGGTTAAAAATATCAAACGGTCTTTGAGTTATGGTCCGAAACAAAATGATTACGGACGGACGGATCGGACGGATTCGGACGAATGACGGGAAGTGGATTTGACGGACATGGACGGACCGGACGGACGGACAGACGGACGAAGGCGATGACTATATCCCACCGCATTATATGCCGGTGGGATAAAAGTGATGCCTCAATCAGCTGGGCATCCAGTGCTCATTATGGATACTGGGAAAGGCAAGCGAGATTGTTACCTGTTGAGAAATTCTGTCTCAAGTCGTGACAGCTGTCTGGAGACTGCCACAGGGGTTCGAAGTACACCTTGAACCCCCGACACAGTGCCATTAACACCCCCTTCACCTTCTCCACAACGCTCTCCTGGAATCAGAGGCAACAACACACGTTATATTTGGGAGTACACTTTATCAGTAGAGTACAGATTCTAGTACTTCTGTTGGGTCGACTCCCTGCCTGGATTCGAACCCACACTTTCAGATTCTGGCACCTGATCCAGCACACAAAGTTAGCCATCTAATCCACTCAGCCACCGCACCTTCCACAAGGTGTCACATTTGACCACTTCTTTCTAAATGGCATTGTGTATTCATAACAAGTTAACAACAGTTCAAAAAGCGACTGTGTACAATGACTCACTCCACTTTCAGTTTAGACGAGGTAAGACAGAAGATTATTGTGCTCATATTATCATGTGCATATGTGTGTATGCATGTAGGTGATTCAGTAGTCCAGTAATAGCTGGTTTTCCAGGGTTTCCTCACTCAGATACCATGTGACAGTTCAACATGGATACCCCACTCAAACAGTCAGCGGACTCCAAATGAACCAGTGCTTATTTATCTCCTTAAAGCTGAGAGCCATTTAGCATTGTTTGGTGTCATGCAGAACCACTGATCTTCAGCTATTTTAACATTGTTTGGTGTCATGCAGAACCACTGATCTTCAGCTATTTTAACATTGTTTGGTGTCATGCAGAACCACTGATCTTCAGCTATTTTAACATTGTTTGGTGTCATGCAGAACCACTGATCTTCAGCTATTTTAACATTGTTTGGTGTCATGCAGAACCACTGATCTTCAGCTATTTTAACATTGTTTGGTGTCATGCAGAACCACTGATCTTCAGCTATTTTAACATTGTTTGGTGTCATGCACAACCACTGATCTTCAGCTATTTTAACATTGTTTGGTGTCATGCAGAACCACTGATCTTCAGCTATTTTAACATTGTTTGGTGTCATGCAGAACCACTGATCTTCAGCTATTTTAACATTGTTTGGTGTCATGCAGAACCACTGATCTTCAGCTATCTTAACATTGTTTGGTGTCATGCAGAACCACTGATCTTCAGCTATTTTAACATTGTTAGGTGTGCGTCATGCAGAACCACTGATCTTCAGCTATCTTAACATTGTTTGGTGTCATGCAGAACCACTGATCTTCAGCTATTTTAACATTGTTTGGTGTCATGCAGAACCACTGATCTTCAGCTATTTTAACATTGTTTGGTGTCATGCAGAACCACTGATCTTCAGCTATTTTAACATTGTTTGTGTCATGCAGAACCACTGATCTTCAGCTATTTTAACATTGTTTGGTGTCATGCAGAACCACTGATCTTCAGCTATTTTAACATTGTTTGGTGTCATGCAGAACCACTGATCTTCAGCTATTTTAACATTGTTTGGTGTCATGCAGAACCACTGATCTTCAGCTATTTTAACATTGTTTGGTGTCATGCAGAACCACTGATCTTCAGCTATTTTAACATTGTTTGGTGTCATGCAGAACCACTGATCTTCAGCTATTTTAACATTGTTTGGTGTCATGCAGAACCACTGATCTTCAGCTATTTTAACATTGTTTGGTGTCATGCAGAACCACTGATCTTCAGCTATTTTAACATTGTTTGGTGTCATGCAGAACCACTGATCTTCAGCTATTTTAACATTGTTTGGTGTCATGCAGAACCACTGATCTTCAGCTATTTTAACATTGTTTGGTGTCATGCAGAACCACTGATCTTCAGCTATTTTAACATTGTTTGGTGTCATGCAGAACCACTGATCTTCAGCTATTTTAACATTGTTTGGTGTCATGCAGAACCACTGATCTTCAGCTATTTTAACATTGTTTGGTGTCATGCAGAACCACTGATCTTCAGCTATTTTAACATTGTTTGGTGTCATGCAGAACCACTGATCTTCAGCTATTTTAACATTGTTTGGTGTCATGCAGAACCACTGATCTTCAGCTATTTTAACATTGTTTGGTGTCATGCAGAACCACTGATCTTCAGCTATTTTAACATTGTTTGGTGTCATGCAGAACCACTGATCTTCAGCTATTTTAACATTGTTTGGTGTCATGCAGAACCACTGATCTTCAGCTATTTTAACATTGTTTGGTGTCATGCAGAACCACTGATCTTCAGCTATTTTAACATTGTTTGGTGTCATGCAGAACCACTGATCTTCAGCTATTTTAACATTGTTTGGTGTCATGCAGAACCACTGATCTTCAGCTATTTTAACATTGTTTGGTGTCATGCAGAACCCACTGATCATTGTTTGCAGCTGATCTTCAGCTATTTTAACATTGTTTGGTGTCATGCAGAACCACTGATCTTCAGCTATTTTAACATTGTTTGGTGTCATGCAGAACCACTGATCTTCAGCTATTTTAACATTGTTTGGTGTCATGCAGAACCACTGATCTTCAGCTATTTTAACATTGTTTGGTGTCATGCAGAACCACTGATCTTCAGCTAGATGATCGAAGCGGTTCAGGTGGTGTAATTACATGACTTTTTGTAATTACAGTTACCATTACAGTTGACAGTTACTGGGTCAGATATAATAAACTTCATAGACAATAAGTTGTTTTCAATCTTTGACAAAATACACTATTGAGCCTGAACCTCCGATACACTACAATCTTGTACCTGAACCTCCGATACACTACAATCTTGTACCAGAATCTTTAATGAGCTATATTCTCACACCTGGACCTTTGGCAGACAACAGTCAATCTACCTGTAGTTTGGTCAGCCTGTCCTTTATCTCGGTGACAGTGTCGTGAAACATGGCATAGCCACAGCTGTCGACATGACTCGCCATCATCTGCTTTATCCGGTTGTAGCATCCCATGCCACGTTCTCTACTTGCCATGTCGTAGACCTTCAACATGGCCATCTGTAGAAGTAAACAGTTATATCACAGTGTGTCAGCTCAACATGGCCATCTGTAGAAGTAAACAGTTATATCACAGTGTGTCAACTCAACATGGCCATCTGTAGAAGTAAACAGTTATATCACAGTGTGTCAGCTCAACGTGGCCATCTGTAGAAGTAAACAGTTATATCAGTGTGTCAGCTCAACATGGCCTTCTGTAGAAGTAAACAGTTATATCACAGTGTGTCAGCTCAACGTGGCCATCTGTAGAAGTAAACAGTTATATCACAGTGTGTCAGCTCAACATGGCCTTCTGTAGAAGTAAACAGTTATATCACAGTGTGTCAGCTCAACATGGCCATCTGTAGAAGTAAACACAGTGTTTAACACCGCACCCAGCAATATTCCAGCAATATGATGTCACACTGTAAATATTCTAGTCTGGACAACACGATCCAGTGATCAACAGCATGAGCATAAATCTACGCAAATAGGATACAATGACATCAGTCAACCAAGTCAGTGAGCCTGACCAACCAATAATGTTAGTCATCGTCTCTTACGACAAGCATGGGTTGCTGTAAACCAATTCTAACCCGGATCTTCACTGGTCACCTGGTGATGAAGTCTGTGAAGTTGTGAATAATTCAGAAATTTACCCCTTTGGGGTCAGATGTGATCAATGTTTTGTTCCTCTGTTGTTTCATGCTGCAGTCAGCATTGTTCCAGATCTACCACAGAGACAACTGATAAACTCTTGACCGGACCAACCAGAGGTGAGGTGAGGTGAAATTAGGTTTAACGTCGCGTGCTTGAGAATATTTGGCTCATATGGCGGCGTGCATGCGTGTGTATGTGTATGTCGCGGCTGCTTGTACTAGCCCAGACTGAAGCTGGTTTTATAGTGCTAGCCCACTGAGATACCATGCCACAGTGAAGCATGAATACCCCACTCAGACACATTATACTGACTCGAGCCGACCAGTCCTTGTTGTACCCATTAATGCGGCGCCAGGCAGGGACCAACAAGTACCATATTTTAGCGTCTTTTGGTATGGCGCGGTCGGGGGATCGAACCAGCGACCTTCCGCTCTCTCGGGTGGACGCTCTAACCACTACACCCGCGCCGGACCAACCAGAGGTTGATACAAGCTAGATTTCCCACATCACTGGATACGTAAGCAACCCAAACACTCAGTCGGACCATCCCATTTAGTCATCATGAACTAGATAACAAGGATTCCTTCTAAACTGCAGAATCGTCAACTATATGTACTTTGCATTTAGCATGATCACTGTTCTCCAGTTTACATGTGGAAAAATGACTGGCTTCATATCAGCAGCTTTTACTTGTACCATGATCACATGGTGTTACTGTTACAAATGTACAGTCACCTACAGACCCTGGGAACTCACTGTGCCATGGCACTCTCTCTACAAGAACTGAGAACCTCGAAGTTGCCATGAGAACCTCGAAGTTGCCATCATCCTGTGACTGTTTCACCATCTCAGTTTATTTAGAGTGAGTGAGTTTAGTTTTGTGCCGCTTTTAGCAATATTCCAGCATTATCAAGGCAGGGGACACCAGAAATGGAGTTTATTTAGACAAACAATCCACCAAAGCACGTACCTGTATATTGGGGGTAATGATTCTGGAGATGTCCCTCTGTTCGCTTGTCACATAACCTTTCATCAGATCAACCATTTCATTCAGCTGCAGAGTAATATTGTGCCAATAAGTCTTTCATGTAGAAAGTGATTTTATCAAAGGCTGCACTACATAATATACAAGATTATGATATTGATCAATAACAGCAACCTGTATATTAAATATCGCTCAATAACAGCAACCTGTATATTAAATATCGCTCAATAACAGCAACCTGTATATTAAATATCGCTCAATAACAGCAACCTGTATATTAAATATCGCTCAATAACAGCAACCTGTATATTAAATATTCGCTCAATAACAGCAACCTGTATATTAAATATTGCTCAATAACAGCAACCTGTATATTAAATATCGATCAATAACAGTAACCTGTATATTAAATATCGCTCAATAACAGCAACCTGTATATTAAATATCGCTCAATAACAGCAACCTGTATATTAAATATCGCTCAATAACAGCAACCTGTATATTAAATATCGCTCAATAACACCTGTATATTAACAGCAACCTGTATATTAAATATGCTTAATAACAGCAACCTGTATATTAAATATTGCTCAATAACAGCATTAAATATCGGCTTCAATAACAGCTGTATATTAAATATCAATAACAGGCTCAATAACAGCAACTCAATGTATATCCCTCGGCTCAATAACAGCAACCTGTATATTAAATGGCTCTCAATAACAGCAACCTGTATATTAAATATCCCTGGCAGCAATATATTAAAGCAATAACCTGTATATTAAATATCGCTCAATAACAGCAACCTGTATATTAAATATCGCTCAATAACAGCAACCTGTATATTAAATATGCTCAATAACAGCAACCTGTATATTAAATATCGCTCAATAACAGCTGCCTGTATATTAAATATCGCTCAATAACAGCAACCTGTATATTAAATATCGCTCAATAACAGCAACCTGTATATTAAATATCGCTCAATAACAGCAACCTGTATATTAAATATCGCTCAATAACAGCAACCTGTATATTAAATATCGCTCAATAACAGCAACCTGTATATTAAATATTGCTCAATAACAGCAACCTGAGTGATCAACAAATATTAAATCGCTCAATAACAGCAACCTGTATATTAAATATCCCTCAATAACAGCAACCTGTATATTAAGCGTAGACTGTGATCACTTCTGGTCACCGGGTAAACATCCGTCTCGCCCACATCACCAGAAGGTGATGTCAGCCACCTCTGATTATTGAAGTAAATCCACAGATGAATCTCACGCGAAGAGGGAGGTAGCTGGAAGGGCAGGGTGGGCCTATCATGAGTAGTGCAGGATAAGTATACATATATAAAAATATTTAGACCTTACTAAATTACAACTAATCCTACACACTTACTTCCTGCACATTTATCGGAAAGGCAGGATGGAGGTGTGTGTCATCTGTGGGGATCAGCCTGCATAAAGGTAAACAAAGACAGCTCAGTCAATGTTATCAGAAGTGCTCGGTGGTGGGAAACCGTCGGCACACCTTTAGGAAATGTAGTAAAAGTAGTATGACTCGGTTAACCCAAGCGTTACTCCTTAACTGACACACCCAGTTATTCTCCTTGAACAACTCTTTTCCCATACAGTGTCGGTGCTTCATGGGAAGAAAATGCATGGTGGAAGGTATCTTCATTGCACCTGGAAGAATAGTCAACAGACAGTGACTATTTCTCAGTGGTAATTAAGTGATATAAGGCATGTAGGCTTAAATGGAAAGACCAGCGATTTTTAAAGCGAGATTAGCTTTAGGAAATGCAGTAAAAAGCAGTTTTAAGTGTTGCTCCTTAACTGATTACACCCAGTTGTTTCCCTCGGAACAACTCTTTTCCCTACATGTAGACATCATGCCTTGTGGGAAGAAATATCATGAATGAAGACACCTTGGAATCTGGAAGACTGAGAATTCGACAGAGAGGGATTACATCTCTGTGGTCATTGCGCCTATAAGGCCATGTAATACGCCCAAATGGAAAAGGCACCCGATTTTAAAGCGTTATTAGCTTTAGGGAATGCAGTAAGAAGCATGGACCTGAGTCTATCCAAGTGTTACTCCCTTAACTGACATACCCAGTTGTTTTGCTAAAAACAAGTGTTTGCCACTGATATGACAATGTCCCCACCGCTTAAAGAATGGAATATCTATAATTACTACTTTTTATTTTTGGGTCACATACAAGATGCCTGAAATGACTGGTGTCTGCATAATCACCCAATGTAGGCTGTCAACATACTTTGAAAACATTGGGTGCAAAAGTTTTTTATGAGATATCACCTTTAAAAAGTGGTCAAAGTATCAGCGGTGACCTTGAAGATAAGGTCAAGGTCACCCAAATAAACTGGTGTGTGTTAATGTAATACCCCAATGTAAACTGTCACCAAATTTGAAGACAATGGGTACAACAGTCCATGAGATATCTACGTTAACAAGAGTTAAAAGTGTGAAAAGTGTCGTGGTGACCTTGAAGATAAGGTCAAGGTCACCCAAAATCAACTGGTGTCTGCGTAATCCCCAAATGTATGCAATCACCAAATTTGAAGACATTGGGTACAACAGTCCATGAGATGCCGTGTTAAGAAGAGTTTGAAAAGTGTTCAAAGTGTCGTGGTGACCTTGAAAATAAGGTCAAGGTCACCTACATAAGTTGTATCTGTGAAATCCCCAATGTAGGCTGTCACCAAACTTGAAGACATTGGGTACAACAGACCATGAAATATCAGCGTTAACAGTTAAAAAGCGTGCAAAGTGTCATGGTGACCTTGAAGGAGATAAGGTCAAGGTCACTAAAATAAACTGGTGTCTGGCGTAATCCCCTAATGTAGGCTGTCACCAAATTTGAAGACATTGGGTACAACACTTATGAGATATATCCGTTAACAAGAGTTTGAAAAGTGGTCAAAGTGTCGTGGTGACCTTAAATAATAAGGTCAAGGTCACTCAAATCGACTGGTGTCTGCATAATCACCCAATGTAGGCTGTCACCAAATTTGAAGACATTGGGTACACCATTTCATGAGATATCGCGTTAACAAGAGTTTAAAAAAAGTGGTCAAAGTGTGCGTGGTGACCTTGAAAATAAGGTCAAGGTCACCTAAATCGACAACTAATTCCCCACACGACATCCCACACACAACATTGTCGCCGTGCTTCATTGCGAACAACAATGTAGGATGTGATATTCTTCGGCGTTATAGTTGACCAATGGTCTGAAGCATTGGACTAGAAACATATGGATTATGGATACTAATTGGCAAAGACTGTGTCCGATGGTTGGCGTAGATGTAGGGGAAACCAGACCAGCCGCATTATACGTATGAATAAAGGAAGTCAGTATCCACAAAACACTCGGGGTTTTGCTTACATGCCTCTGACGGCTCGAGTTCGCTTAATGTACAAACTGAGTACACCAGCTGAACACAAAAGGAACACAGGAACATCACGCCGACAACAGACGATAAGGGCGAAATAGAGAACCGTTGATCATTTTGCCCTAGCTGGCAACGGGTCTGTAGTGATGAAATCCCCATAAAATACCCAGAGTTACAGAACCATGACTGCGTCGTTCAAACTGGATCCAATTAACACCAAGAGCACCAAACGCATGACCCATGTCGCTATCGCTGTGCAAGTCTGCAAGGGAAGTGTTCGTGAATGACTTGTAAAACACAAGGCGTAGGCGGTCCAGGACCATGTTGAGAGTCCTGGCGGGTGGTCAAAACTGCAGCTTGGGTACACAAGTGCTGAAAACGAAGCACGGACGGTAACTCCTGTCAATGGGGACTGCTAAAACGAATGGCCACTAACATAAGTGGCAGCCATGTCCCTCCTGAAACGGATTCCGTCTGCTAAAAAAAAACAGGGTGTGTGTGTATTCAGCGGATCCTGCTTCGTGGCAACACAACTGCTCGACCGACTGCCCCTTGTTATACATGTGCCTGATGGGAGTCTAATGTTCATCAGCAATGCAGTAACAATGCGCTGGCTGAAAAGTAATTGGCGCATAATGCCGCCTGCAGATGCAGTGTGTTAATTGAACCGTTCTGGCGTGGGATGAGGATACACTATAGGATGTTTCCCCATCTGGCTAGTTGAAGAGGGGCACGGGACACTAGACTGCTTCAAATCAGAAACCAACCTCTGGTTGATCATCTGGGACCGACTAAATATAGTCGAAGTCAAGTTGTTAATTCTTGATTGGGACGAAAACATTTGGAAGCAAGACTGGAGGACACGTATTTTGCATGTAGCTCCCCCATGAAAAGGCTTAAGCCATCTGCTGCCCAGGCTGACCATCCGGAGACTAGTGTTGGGAATTGGTTAAAATCTCCCTTAATTGATGATTGGTTCATTATAACCGATCAATCATCGAAAATTATTGGTTAGCGTCATTTATCAAATTTTCCTGGTTATTTTTGTTTGCACAAAAGCATAAAGAAAAAAACCATGTAGTTCTTGGGGTTTTCTTTGCAAATTGCACATCTTTAAAGGATGACTAGTATGTTAGGAACATATATTTCTTGTGGTCTTTAAGATAAATTCAATCATGACTTGGAACAAGCTTGTAGTGCTCATGAAATATAACAGACAAAACCAACCTTGTGAAAAATATTGTTAATGCAAAAAGTGTTCCAGAATTGTTTGTCTTCGATTATGAGAAAACATGATTGATTGCTTAGTCGTTTAGTCACTGCGACCAATCTAAGATTAATTCAATTAATCGGACCACCACTACCGGAGACGGAGACACATAAACTGGTATCTCTTTGTGTAGCATTCAGTTTGTGAAAGCGACTCTGTCAGATCCCGATATAGCGTCCGCTAAGATGTACCTGCACCCAGGAATATGCTGAGTTCTCAGACAGACATGGGTGTCGGCTATTACTGGAGAACAGACGGAACTTCTGGAAACAGTAACCTGGTCAAACTCTTGTTAAACCAAACAATTGGGTTGCCTAGGAGACAATGTGCCCAGTGACAGATAGCGAAAAACACTAGTCTGCCTAGAGCTCCAAACTGCTGATTGAGCTCATGACCGAAACCCTGAGATTATCAGATATAGTAAGGGGGCGCCTCAATTCTGCATGGAGGTGCCGACCTAAACGTAGGTGGTTTGGAACTCGCTCAGTCAAGGGGACTGCAGGTAGGACATCTATGGGCGAGTCCACTACAAGAAAAAAAAATACTGAGGTTAGTGAGGCAGGAGACCGACATGTTGAAGAATGTCCGCCGAACAGCACACAGGGGATGAGGGCTTAAAACTTGTACCTGCCGGATTCCGAATGAGGATCCTGTCTACTTAAAAGAGGCTTCAAATGCACGTCAGTGTGTGTGATGGTACAAGGTCCGAAACGTCCCGGTTGACAAGTCAACCCAGTATAGAACAAACTTTATGGATAACAACTTCTTTTTATTCGTGAGTGCGACGTTTCGATACAGATTCTTGTACCGTTGGCAAGCATAACCCAGCTAATTAGCCCAGCTAGTATAAAGACGTATGGTGGCGTTGGATCTCGAAGGCGCCGTACAGCTGGTAGTGCCGTACAGGCGCTATATCTAGTAGAAAAAACGGACAGGCGCTGGAGTGAGTAGGCGCCGTTTTATAGGTGTCGTGCAGGCGCTATATCTGGTGGAACCACTGGACAGGAGCTGGAGTGCGCAAGTGAGTATGGTGTTATAGGAGCCATACAAGCGCTGGATCTGGTGGAAACGCCATACAGGCTCTCTAGTGGGTAAGTATGGATTACAGGTGCCGTAAAGGTGCTGGATCAGGTAGACCAGACATTTGCTGTAGTCAGGAACGAAGCTGGAACAGGTAGGTATGGCGACGGAGACGCTGACACCAACTGCTGAACGCCGAGGTCGTAGTCGATGTGGTAGATGCGCCGTACTGGCGCTGCAGTCCCTGCTAACTAGGTCAAGTGTGGAATGGATGTCGAAACATCCAGTGACTGCTGAGCATGCGACACATGCATGGATCTTAGGCGTCAGGAGTATGATACCTGCCATGGAAACTCTGAAAACAACAACCTGGAGAATACGGAGTGCCAGACACCCTATAGTTAGTGGACATCAAGTGGCAAGTATCTGGGTGCTTGCCATAGTCGACGTTGGTGTTGGACCTGGCGCTTCATAGATGGAAAAAAGGTCTTAAGATGATATATTAAGACAGCGCAACAAGCACATTCATCCATGTGAAAAAAACTGGGAAAAACACGGAAAAGTGCAATTCAAACAGTATGAATGAAGGCACTTATGAGATACCCCGCCTTACAAACTATACAGCATGTGCCGTACAGAAACTGCAACATAGCAGAAACCCCCAGCAAACATTCAGTGAAAAACATTACAATAGTAATGAGCAACACACAGGGAAACAGCATAATTTAGAACAAAAGTCTCACAAATACTGACAAAAACTGGAGACCAGAATTAAGGCTTAATATACGATAATAGTATAACAAATAAGCATGAGCCAAGAACAAGCCACTACGAATACATCGTAGCCACGTGTTCTGAATGGCGAAGTGACCGATAATAATAATGAAAACTATCGTGTTTAACACAAACACCATCAGTACAACAGTACTACATAAAAGAAACAGAAGGGTAATACCTACACCCTCTGAAACACAAAGGAAAACATCCACAAGTCAGTTTATTATCAATAAACACAATTCATAGGATACAAATCAGTCGAGCTGGCAAACCACACGTCTTGTTAGGCGTGCGAAAAGCAATAATCTGAGGTGGCTGATGTCACCTTCCGGTGATGCGTGCGCAGACGGATGTTTATCCGAGACCAGGAAGTTATCACAGTCTACGCTTTTCAACATCAATCGTCTGGCACAGCCACGTTTCGAGTCGTAAGCAATAAGTGCAGGAAGTAAGTAGTGCAGGATTAGTTAAAAATACTTTATAATGCAACAATCTTACATAAATGTAAACTCACCTTTGCAGTGGCATTCCCGAAGAATTTGAAGCATGACAGTGTCTATCTGAAGTTTGTCAAAGCCACCAAGAGCCAAGTTGTTCTTGACATCTTCGTTGAAGGTTCCCAGTGCTGCCATCATGGAAGTTTTCACCTTCTCCAGTGTGCACCAGAAGAGTGACCTGAAACATTTTGTATCATCACAAGAAGCCAGGAAACTGAATAACTACACAGGGATCTAGGCATCTGCCATTGATAAGAAACGGAGAAACTCAACATCTTATGACATTCTCCAGAAATGCGAAAAAAAAAATCTCTTTAAATCAACCTACAATCAGAAGCATTTGTGATTCTTTCAGCAAAGCACCTTAGACTGGTTTAGTTATGATATAGGGCACAATACAATATTTTTATATCATCATTATTATTGTTTTGCAGATTAAAGATGAAAATGCAGCAGAGTGGGTTCGGGTGATCCTGGCACAATCAGGCTGGTAAGGCTCATCATCAGCTCAGGGCCGTCGCCCCCTCTACACGCTGCCCAGACAGCGAATGGGACTTCTCCCAGGAAACACTTCCTAGTCGAACCCACCAAGCACTTTCCGGAGAATATGAAGGCTCCCCAACACTGCAGCCTTCTGCATTACCCAGATTGTCAGAAGGGCTGTGCTCCCGGTGGAGAACCCGGGCACTCTCCTGATCTGCGCCAAGAGATCAGGAGGTACCAAACCAAGGGCACTGAGAACAATGGGGAGCCTGAAGACAGTGTACTTGGGATGCAAGAGAGACATTTCAAACTCGAGATCCGCATATTTATCATGCTTTTCCTGAATCTTGCCAATCACATTGCTGTCAAAAGGGACAGAAAATTCAATGATATAAATAAATTCATTGGCTTTATCAAAAAGGACAAGATCAGGTTTGTTGGCAGGAATTCTTCTGAGGCTGTGTATGGGCCTATTCCACAGAAGTATGAAAGCATCATTTTCCATGACGGGCTGGACATGTTCAGGGTCGTACCATGGATGGACCTCGGAGTCAAAGCCACACACATGGCGGAGACGGTAGTAAAAGCAACGAGCCATGCCATCATGTCGTTTAAGATATGCTGTTTGTGCCAAAGAAGGGCATCCACTGACAAGATGTTGGACAGTCTCTATAAATTCATTACATAGTCAACATTTCATATTGATATTTTCTTTAAGAATCACATTTAGGCGATTACGACTGGGAAGTGACTGGTCCTGAGCAGCAAAAAGGAAGCGCTCAGTTTCACATTTGAGACCAGCCGACTTCATCCAGGCGAAGGAGTCGGTGGGATTGCTTCCACACACTGCATGTACACACGATGCAATGGCTTCTCAGAAAGCTTCTGGATAAATGACCGACTCTGGGCAGACTTGGTGAAGGACTTCACCTGGTTTACACCCATCGCTTGGCACGCTTGAAATAGCTGTGGAATTCCTAGCTTTCATCATGAGTCTTGACATGCATCACCAGAGGATCATCCGATAAATAAATATGTGCAAAAGTACACACTTAAATTTTATCATGAAATGCCTCCACATTAATCAAACCCCGACCTCCAGAATTGATTGGCATGTATAAACGGTTAAGAGAGGAACGAGGGTGGTGGGCTCTGTTATCAGACATGATCCTTCTGGTCAGGCGGTCAAGACTCTGGATGTCTTGTTTTGTCCAATCAACTACTCCAAAGGAATAGGAGAGGACTGGCACAGCAAAAGTATTGGTGGTTTTGACCTTGTTTTGAGCATTTAGCTCTGAGCTCCAGATTTTCTTTAAGCGAGATTTGTACTCAGCCCAAAGTTTTTCTTGAATCTGGGCATTCTGGAGCTTGTCTCGAACTTGCATTCCAAGATAGGTGTAGGCCTGATCTTCCACAAGATGCTCAATAACTCCTCCCCTTGTAACTTGACCGATCCATCATTAACTACCTTGCCACATTTCAAATGCAGAGTATTACATTTGTCGAGCCCAAATGTCATGCCAATATCATTAGAAAAGGACTCGACAAGGAGTACCTGTTCTTTCAAACTGGTATCTCCTTTGGCAAGGAGCTTGATGTCATCCATGTAAAGGAGATGAGTAAGCGGTGTTGGGGATCTGTGCTGAGGAGGTCCGGGATGGTAACCCTCCTCTCTGTTGAGCAGAAAGCTCAAAGGATTTAGAGACAAACAAAAAAGCAAAGGACTGAAGGAGTCCCACTGGAAAATTCCCCTTCTGATTTGAATGGATTTCGAAGTCTGCACCTGCCCTTGTGAGTACATCTCAAGTTGAGTCGACCAGCAACTCATTAAAGACTTGAGTAAATCAAGTAGTCGCTCAGGGAGGTCAATACAATGAAGAGACTTCAGAATCCATTCATGAGGGACAGAGTCGTATGCTTTCTTGTAGTCAATCCAGCACATGGAGAGGTTGCGGTGATATGTTTTAGCCTCTTCCAAAATCATTTTCTGTACAAGAAGTTGATCCTTGCACCCTCAACATCCCTTTCTCGCTCCCTTCTGCTCTCTGTAAATTTTATCATTGGAAGAGCAGTAAGATGACACGAGACTTGTTAAACACCCTGTGAAGATTTTATACTGAGTATTCAAACATGTGGTAGGGCGGAATTTTGGGGACCAGTCAAGTCTCCTTTCTTGGGAAGGAGTATTGTGCGACCTTTGCAGAACCATGGAGGAACAGTGAAACAGTGAAGTAATGGTGTTTGGACACAGGGGAACAGTTTCCAATACCAGTTTCGAATGCCATCAGGCCCTGGAGCTGTATTAGATTTAGACTTTTTGATGACACTTTTCAGGCAATCTGGTGGGATGTAACAGACAAACGACCTAGTTACTTTCTCATGCATTGCATGGTCATAATCACAGACCCATGGTGCCTCCATGTTACAGTCGCTGGGTACAGACCACAACTATTTCCAGAACCTCTCATTGGCATCCATGGGAGGCCGCTTATCATGCTCACCATCACCGTTGTTTTAAGTTGCCTGTTAAAGTGTTTTTCATTATTTCTAAAATGTTTATTTTGTTTGATGAATTTATTTTTCTTTTCCCATTTTTTCTTTCTTTCAGTCCAAACCTTTATTTTTGCCTCAAGGGAATCGGCAATTTGGAGAAGTATCTTTTCTTTGGTTGTCCTATATTGTAATTTTAATTTTCTCCAAGTTGACTTTTGTCGTTTAGACATGGGACTCCCTGATGATCTTAACTTCAGGCAAAGCTCTATCCAGGAAATGTATTTTCTAGTTTCTGTTAATTTCTCTTGAAACCGGTTTTTCTTTGGTGTATTGTTCTTAGGAGTGGATGTTCTTTATTTGGAAACTGTGTGAAGTTCCTCCAAGGTTCGAGCGGCAGCATAGACACAACAATTAACTTCATGTAATGAACAGTCCGCAGAAAGTGTCATAAAAATAATGTCATTTAATAAATTAATTTCATTTTTGGGAAACGATTCAGTTGTTTGTTTAATTGGCCTCCGTTTTTCTAAAGGTAAATCAGATATCTCATCATAAATAGAATGAAACAAAATGTACACAGGATTTTCGGAAATATCTGCAACTGAGGAAGAGGAAAAGAAAGAGTGAGGGTCCGAAATTTCGGGGCTAGTTGGCTCTATGCTGGAAGAGTTTCCATCAAGAAGAGGAGAGAGGTTAACACGGACGTCCATCAGAAGTTTTGGGTCTGCTACCACTTGAACATTCTGCTCATGCAAAGGTTCCTGACGGGCACCAGTTGTGGGTTTAACTGGCTCACGGGGCATGAGATTTTTAAGCCGCCGGAATTGATCTTGGAGATTTTGCTCCGTCAGGAAAGCATACATGGGCATGGCATTGTCCCAATGCAGCTTAAGCGACTTGCCGTTTATTCGTGGATTATCAGGCCACCCTGTCGCTCTCGCACACTCAAGTAGTGTGGTTCTAAAATGGTTTGACCAAGATAGTCTTGATCGGGCACTGTGCCTTCCCCTTGGGCAAGTCCCATCTCCAGTGTGGTTGGTTTGACTACCGGAGGAAGGCTGACTTGGCTGCGGAAGTGAAAGATTGATTTCTTTTTCTCTGTTTGTAACCCATTAAGAAAATCAGCTTCGGGGGGTCAGCCCTAACTGGGTGATGTACATTCAGTTCAGGGAATATAATTCCCCTATCTAGGCCCACCACGAAGAGACGTACATCATCAGGCCCCTATTATTATTATTATTATTACTATAAAGCACCTGAGGGTAACCTAAGTATATCATCACGAAGGTAATCAGATGTCAATATCTGCATGTTTGGGACTAATAACAACACTAAAAGCAAGATTTGAATGCTTATTCAGCCAAAACAATTTTGATACTGTAAAAATACTGCCGTTAATATGCCGCCACATAAATTCGACTGATGAATCCAAGACAAAATCGCATCTCGATATCAATGTGTAATAGTGTAATTACATGTAGTAATACAATGTCTTCTGGGAGATTTACAGGGTATGTATTTAATCCTTGCCATGACACATTATTTAAAACAAACAGAAAATAGCAAGAGTAGTGTACTTCCACAAAACTTTGAAACTAGTGAAAACAACAGTCCAGCGCATCACAGGACTCACCCAAACACCTGGCTCCAGCTGCTTGCGACAGCTTCCAGGAGGGGTTGTGCCAGGTCAGTGTTGAAGTCAATGACTCCAGCCGTCGGCGAGCTATACTTGCCCTGCCTTGAAACCGTTGCTCGATACGTCATGAAAGCCAGGCCACCAAGGCGCCGGTTTTCTTTGTTCACCTGCAATAGTGACTTAGGACTAAGAATGAAGAGATACCAACCCCTACATGCATTCTGGTAATCACTAGCAATCACCATTAGCGTGCATCTTGTTCATTTCATCTGATCACCCAGGGTTCTCAAAATCTCATACGAAGAGAATCTCACCCGACTGTCTTTTGATATCAAACATATCACCACGGGTCATTAAAGTAACAAATATCGAGGCTTGCCGAGCATAGTTTTACTTGTATCAATGAGTGCTGATATATTTGACATCAGAAGACACGAGGGTGAGATTCTATTTATCATCAAAAATCACTCTTCATTAGTTTTCAATAAAATATGTACATCTCTGAACACGGTTCTGCCGTTAGACTTGCAGTGCAGCGATGTCATAGCATTGTGATGTCATCAAGTTCATGACATCATAGCATTGTCAGGGCACTGTACAAAATCTACTGTCAAAATGATATCTCCTAGGAGACATTGTTTGATTTCACACAAGCAATATCTCCTGTGGAACACAGTTTTGGATGATAACCAGAGTTGCATCCCTAGCTCATGCCAGAACCCTGTGATTGTGGGTTTGTGGCATGTGGTTCACACAGAACTGTTCTGCAACAGTCCTAATGATTGGCATGTATGCACACCCACCTTGCTACCCCACCTGTCACTGGTGGTCCGAGCTCTCTGACCCGCAAGCTGGGATCCATCTTTTATGATGGGATTTAGGCAGCGGTCAAACAGATCTCGGATGTCTTTGCTCAGCTGGGATACGATTGGGTCGATCTTCTGCAGAAGGTCTGTCACGTGCTTCGTCACAACAGGCTGAACTTTGCCACCTCCCTGGGTATATTACAGTAAATGTTGTAAACAAATGGGGGACTCTCAGGACCGGTGTCCATTTTCTGAATTTTTCTAGACATTCTTATTGATATGTGTGTGAAGCTTAGACATTGTCCTTGCCCGAGATATACATCCTGTTCGTTGAACCAGCAGTCACACTGTGCTACTGAAGGGACTTACATCAAAGTCGCTGGACACTGTACACAGCAATTTGCCAGCTTAATGACAAGTTAACCAGATGATCCACAGCTAGTATATCACTGTATATCAAACTCAGAATAGGTCTCCAGAGCCTCATGCCCAGGAGCCGACGAAACGTTGTCCAAAAGGTTGATTATCAGTAACACAGCATATGTCATCTTTCATGGTATCAAAGAACAGTTCACCTACCTTTTATAAAGAGTATTCACATTAATATATACAAACAATATGTAATAATGTAGTCTTGCCATAAAAATGTAATTTTTTGAGTAAAATTGATATTTTATACTTATCCTGACTCATGCTCTTTTTGCTTGTCTCCTTCCTCTTGCGAACATAGTGGAACACTTGTATCTCCCTAATTGAAGTTCCCTTCAATGTAAAATCACTAATTAGTACACCACGAGTTACCTCCCTTCCACAAGCGCGGGAACGAGGGCGCCACCTCTACCCATGTACTCTCCCTATACCAACATTTGAATTTACAGGGAAATCCAAAGTGTTATTTGGGGAGGATGGGAGGGTTGACTCATGAGTCAGGATAAGCATAAAATATCAATTTTACTCCATATTTTTCCTACCCATGTGCCTCACTCTCTCCTCCATATACTGAGCCCAACATTTGAATTTACAGGAAATCCAAAGTGTTATTTGGGGGGAGGATGGGAGGGCTGACCTCATGAGTCAGGATAAGTATAAAATATCAATTTTACTCAAAAAAATTACATATTTTTCCTTATCCTGACTCATGCTCTTTTTGCTTGTAGAATCCAACAGAGCGGAGGTGGGAATATATAATACTTTGGATTTTAATAATTAGTGATTTGAACTGTGATGATTGTAATAACCCTATGGGAACTTCATAAAGGCACTGAATTGATGAATTCCTGCTGCTAACTTATCAGCTGCCATATAAAGGTTATTACAATGTACTTATTATGATAAAGTATATATAACATTAATACAATGCTTAAGACTAATAGACTTAAGCTTGTTAATATGCTAGTATAAACTCCTTAGAGTTTGTTAGCTAAATTACTTTAAAATATAAACATAGTACTAAGCTTAAGATATGATTAAACTTAAGGTAATTATATAATAGCAAAACTCTTTTAGAGTTTGTTAGTTAATGTACTTATATGATATAGACATAGTGCTGAGCTTAAGATATGAATAAGCTTTAGCTACCTATATAATAGCAAAACTCTGTAGAGTTTGTTAGCTAATATATTTTTACAATATGAGTATAGTACTGTGCTTAAGATATAATTAACTTAAGCTACATATATAATAGCCAAAACTCTGTAGAGTTTATTAGCTTATAGATTTATAATGTAACCATAGTACTAAGCTTAAGATAAGATTAGACTTAAGCTAAATGTATATAGCAAAAACCTCCTTAGAGTTTATTAACTAATATACTTTTATGTTATAACCATAGTACTGAGCTTAAGATATAATTAAACTTAAGCTATATATATAATAGCAAAACTCGTAGAGTTTTGTTAGCTAATACATTTTATAATGTAACCATACTGCTTAAGATATGATGAAACTTAAGCTAATTGTATAATAATAGCAAAACCCTTTAGAGTTTGTTAGCTAAAATACTTATATGATATAAACCTAGTATTGAGTTTATGAAGGAAACCTTAAGCTACATATATAATAGCAAACACTCCGTAGAGAGTTTGTTAGCTAATATACTTATATGATATAAACATAGTATTGAGCTTTGAAGGAAACCTTAAGCTACATATATAATAGCAAAACCTCGTAGAGTTTGTTAGCTAATATACTTATATGATATAAACATAGTATTGAGCTTAAGATTTGAAGGAAAACTTAAGCTACATATATAATAGCAAAAACTCCGTAGAGTTTGTTAGCTAATACAAGTTATAATGTAACCATAAAGTTTAAATTATGATGAAACTTAAGCCAATATATAATAGCAAAAAACTCTTTTAGAGTTTTGATAGCTAATATACCTATATGATATAAACATAGTATTGCGCTTAAGATATGAATAAGCTTAAGTTACATATATAATAGTAAAAAACTCCGTAGAGTTTGTTAGCTAATACATGTTATAATGTAACCATATTGCTTAAGATATGATGAGCCTTAAGCCAAATAGCAAAAACTCTTTAGAGTTTGTTAGCTAATATACTGATATGATATAAACATAGTACTGAGCTTAAGATATGAATAAGCTTAAGCTACCTATATAATAGCCCAAACTCTGTAGAGTTTGTTAGCTTATATATTTTTACAATCTGAGTATAGTACTATGCTTAAGATATAATTAAGTTAAGGTAAATATATAATAACCAACTCTGTAGAGTTGTTAACTTATATATTGTATGATGTAATAATCATAGTACTGTGATGATAAAAAGAACTTAAGCAAATTATATATAGCATGTAGCTATTTAGTACTGTTATAAGATAAGTAGAAATCTGTAAGATTGACTTATCTTCTCCGAGGAACTGTCAACTGTTGTGCGAGGACCATGGGATCGAATTGGTGGATACCTGAGACGTCCTCGGTGATGATATCTCTCAGATAATGGTTGGCAACCACCATATCGGATCTCCAGAAAATAAACCCTCCATTATTTCAAATAATATTGTGTAGATCAATTGTAGAAGTTAGCGCTCTAATATCATGAGTATTAAAAGCTCATGGAGGGTCGGATTGGGTCCATCCGTCTTGTATGCACGTAGTATGACAGTTCTGATCCAAACGGAGATATAGTACGTGAGATTTCATTCTGCGTAAGTTGATGATAGAGGAAATAATCTGTTGTATTATTCCCTTCTGTTTGTTTCGGTGGAGATAAATTTACAGTGCTCTTGCTGGCCATCGTGATAGAATCATCGTATCATGGAGTCCAAGTATGTCATCCAGGCGTGTTCATAAACCTCACTTGTGAGGTGTTGGAGTACTATATTCAGATCCCCAAGTTGGAGGGTGAAACTTCCGTTTTAATTCTCCAATCAGAAAGTTTAAGTAGGTTTACTAACCATCTAGTTGTGTTAGTAGCTTGATTATGAAATTCAGCTGTAGTCTGAGACGCTGTGGATTTAGATCCACTTGTATCCCGCCGTCTAGGTTATTCGCCGCGTAAGTCCTTGACGATGTAGGTGCACAACCAGGTGTGTCTGTCCTCGTTGAACTTTATGTAAAATTGCCTGACTGCCGTGCCTCCTCCCTAACTTGACAGGGAGGTCTCTAACCTGAAGAAAGCAGCCCAATCATGAAGGTTCAGATTAACTGGACTGTAAGGAGGCTTGCTCGCTCACTGATATATAGTTGTCACTTGTAACGTAAGTCTTGAACTGTGAACTAAGATCGACCTCTCATGTGAGTGGCTCGTTGTCCAACGCGGTCCAATCAGAACAAGGCATTTTGATTCTGTAGAATACCGCGCTGTGATGTCACCGGTGTAGCAGGAAAAACCTTGTATAAAATCTTGCCGCCGTTGATATTAGCATAATCGCCGGTCTTCACCGTAGCTTCGGTTACCCGAAAGTGACCACGTGTTTCGAGGGTTAAGGTAAACTCGCTGAAAACCTCCGCGAAATACCCGCTCTGTAATATTAATGCTGGGTAGGTTATTTTCCTGGCTGTCGTGAATGTAACTTCAGTTTTGAATATAATTCGACTTCCTTTATATAAAGGTACAATAAACTTGCAAGTTGTCAGCTTGTAGACTGTATACATGAATGTATCGCCATAATTGTAGAATTAAAGCTGAACTTGTACATATTTCTTCTCAGAAACTTTGACGATTATGAGTTATACTCGCTGTAACAAGGCTGCTGTTCAATTTCGATATTGAATTGTCTGCAGATCTGCGAATGGTCACGCATGTAGATAATCGATCAGAAGTCGGGATTGCATATTCTAGCAATCTATACGGAAAGGTTGATTTCTGTGAAGATCTATGCAACGCCGTTGATTAATTAATATAGCGACGTTTTGTGTTGTAAATAGCCTGTGCAATTGTCTTCGCGTAGGCTTATAGACGGCATATGGCATACAGTTGATAGACAACTTATGCGATGTCTTGAACGGACTGACGAGTAGCTATATATGACGAAGTGGCTAATATATGGAGACCTTGGAGGAGAATTCCTCGGTGGACGCCGGAGACTTCGCTTAAGCTCTCGAAGCATCCATTCTAGATTTCCTGTGTGAGGTAGACTTGGAGCCACTTAGCCTTCGCGACCTTCGCGAAGGTATCGAGTCAGAGCCCGATCAGTATATATATAATATATGAGCGCTTGCTTCGCGAACGACCTCTGTGTTCAACAGGAGTGAGTGAGTGAGTGTTTTGTTTTACGCCGCACTCAGCAATATGTGGGGGGTCGGTGAAGCGCTACTCCTCCGTGACGCCCCCCTTGTAACTGGTGAGGCTCTAGCTCCTTCGCGGAGGTGGCCTGGGACTTCCTTAGCGAAGTGTCTAGAATCCGATCAATATATGAGCGTTAGCTTCATACAGGGTGTGGTTCTTGCTGGTTCTGCATAAGTAGAGCCGAGTAGATCATCCTATCATCTTCAGAAGTCGTGTCACGAAATCTGGTGATAAGAATCTCATTGATCGTTCTAGATCTATTAATGCCAAGAACATACGCCTCTGGCGTTTGAACTGTTATGGCTTTATGGTAGGCTGTGTCCACATACTGTGGCACCGCAGCAATCGAGTCGATCGGAGGTAAGGTGATGGCGTCTGCCTCGTCTTCCTTTATCAGGTATGTCTGCGCCGAGTTGCCACTCTTGGAAGGTGAAG